GTGTTGCATATCACATGTGTCATCACTCATGTGATTAACTTGTAGGGCACCTATAACTAGTAGGAATATCTCATGTATTTTTACTTCGATAAATCCTTAGTTAGAGTCAATCGGATCATAATGAATTCGATAAGTAAGAGATTTAGATTGAGAGAGAAGGAATTAATCGGGAAAATCCAATTAAAGTGAGACTTATATGGATTCCATATGGGCCTGATAACACCATGCCTAATATATAGTCTCTGGAATATTAGATAGATAAGAGACTATATATATATGGTAACTAAGGGTAAACAGATCTATTGGATTAGATCCCCTTGTACTGTCTTAAGACTATGACGTAGTGGCTTATTATGTCCATAATCGATGAGCTGAGTGAATTATTATGAGGATAATAATTCACTAAGTCAAAAGGAGTTCTGATAAGTGTAATTCACAGCCAATTCGGTATTGGGCTTAGAGGCTCATATACATATGGTGGACAATACGACGAATAGATAATTTGATATAGGATATCTAATAAGCCTCTATTTTAATGGATTTATTGGGTGAGACCCAATGAAGCTTAGAATGATTATTAGATGGGGATCTAATATCCATTAAGCCAAGGGTAATTATATGGAGATCCAATACCCATTAAAACAAAATCCATTAGTGTTAGTAAAGGGGTTCCCTATAAAAAGGAGAGGAGCTAAAAGGGTCATAAGCTAGACCCCTATAGTCGCTGGCCTCCTCGTCTCCTCCCCTCTTCTTCCTTCTACTGTCAGGCCCCTCTCTAGTGCGAGAAGACAACAAGAGGGACCAATCCCTCCTTGTTTGCTACTGTGTGGTAGTGCGCGATCATGAGAAAAGGATGCACTACATGAGGAGATGTGTCATTGCTGTGCCCATCGTGTGGATCATCATTAGAGAGGAGTTTGTGAGAGCTCCTTTATCCACCAACTAGGATATATAATCTTAGGAGATATACGAGTTCTCATATGTGAGAACGTCTCACACCCCTTATGCGGTTTTTGATTTTTCAAATTTTATACTCACGATCATCACACGACGATCTGATAAATCTATTATGAAAAATTAATTTTTATTTTTATTTTTCGTTGTGCACGTGATATTATCAAAGGTTTCCCAATAGTGCTAAAATAATAGGCAAATAGTCTTCTTGGACCTCGATGAACTGATTTCTCGTAATAGGTTTCTCAGATCGTCAAAGATTTAAGTTAACAGTCAACCCTTAATCCCCAATGCTAATCAGACAACCCTTGAATACTCTATCATTGAAAATGTACTTTCCAATAGGTATAGCTACAACCACTAATTGAACAAGTTTTATATTCGTCTTCGTTGTTGAGTGACATGCAATAAAAAATACGTAAAACTAGTATTAATCAATACGCTAGTTCAGCAAGCTTTCACTGCATCATCCGATCCTTCGATGTATCTCCTAATTCATCTAGCCCGATGCCCGATTATTGACTTCGGCCCAACTTTGATTCTTCTTTAATCATTTTGTCTTTCTCACGATCATAGTTAGTCTTGCATCACTTATCTCAACATATGGATTAGATCATTAATTCATCAATTGATTTCATCATCAAAATCCAAGATTCAACAGTTAGTTGACAAGTGATAGAGAATAAGAATGCCTAGAATCACTATTTTAGAAGCCTAGGCATCTTGACATGTAAATGCATATACTCGAGGTTGTTGAATTTGAGATATGCTTTGTTGCTATAAAGATGGAAAATGAAGTTGTTGCGATTTTAGTGGACAATCCCTTGTCTATTGGTAAGTGAAGCATACTCGCCCAACGAACAATGTGTAGAAACATGCCCTTCCATAGTTATAACATCTAACTATCACTTGCTAGGAAGTATTCATCTCCTATTGACTATCGAGGCAATTGTGGTCCATGATATGGCCTTGCCTTCTTTGGAGGTCCTTTATCAGTGTTGTATAAAGTCGAATTGCCTACATGAGAAAAATTAAAATGTTTGCTTATGATCCTTCCGACTCAAGTGATCGCCAAGAAATCACTCGGCAATAATGCCTTACTAACAACCTCTATTCGGTAACTCTAAGATAGCAACTCGCTCTCAAATATATAAGCGCTTACTTATTTCCAAATGCCATATCTTTTAGTCTTCATTTGCAACCAAATATATAGAAAAGCTAGAGAGATCAGTAAAGTAGTCTTCATCTCGTGTAGATCTTGTTGATGCTATGGTATTCTCTATAGCCCATAATGTTGTCTCATAACCTTTAACTCAACCTACTCAAATATGACAATTCATGAGCATATTCCTTAGACAAAGTTAAAGCTGTTTCAATATGCTTTTCTTCATAACCAAGGAATACATTAAAGGAGTTAGCTACCAACTATAAAACATTTAATTTCATAATTCCTTGTGATTGAAGAGTTGTTTTATACACTAGTACTTATTTTGGTGTTTGAGGGTTTGAAAGAAGTTTAGAAACTGAGTATATTGCTATAAGCTCTCTTGGAGTTTTGTCTTAAATATTATATCTCTTGGATGCTTCTTTGAGTGATGAGTCTTTTGTTTTTAGTTCTGTATCCTTGTTTAGAACTTTCTGTATCGCTTTATGATTTTAAATTTGATGGTGAGTTATATTTTTTATTTTATTAAAGTTTTATCATGAGTTTATTAATTTTCTATCAAAAAACTTATTCCAACAAATACAATTGTACTATCGACTTTATTTCAAAATTCATTCTGTATTATCACCGTATCATATTGCATGTTATATGCTTAAAATAAAATGATAATAACAAATGATATACTAAAAATATAATAAATCAAAAAATTAAATCATCCGATCAAGATAATAACAACAACAACAATTGATAGCTCATATGCACATTTGAACTTTTGAGATAGACAACTCTACAACAACCATAAAAAAGGTTCTATATGGTACTCTCATTGAAGCAGTATCTTTCATTAACCACAAATAGAGATAAGTTTTCTCTACTATAAGTAAGAGACAATTAGTTGTCACATCCAATGATCCGCTAAATTTTTAAAGAGAATTATCTTATTATCCTGCCTACTTAATAACAGGGATCAATATTCTCAATAAATTATAATAATTATATAGGAACATATCATATCATGTTTTAGTACACCAATTCAAAGACAAGAATTCATATAATAATGAAAAACTGCTAAGACTACCCATCAACATTTAATAAAATTAAATAACAATTAGCTTATATCAAAATTTTAAGTTAATTATATAAGAATATGATTAATAATAATTATTTATAGTTTACCAATCTTATACAATCTTTAATTTTCAAAAATTATGTATATCATAACAAACGGGTAAGTTGGATGTAATATAGAGTTATATTTACACTGAAAATGAAACAATTCTTGATTAGATCAATTTTAAATAAAAAATATAATTAAACATTCGAAAGATCATTAACTATAAATAGATTTAATTGAGGCCGTGAGATAGTTATCAATATTCAATACAATAAATTATATTAATATCTTTCTAGGACACATGTCAAAATGAGATTTCTATATTTAATCCCTTAAAGGCATGATTACATGCTAGTATTTTATTTACAAAAGTAAATATTACATCACAAGAAGATCAAGTAGATCTCCGGTTTCAAATATCTATCCAAACATCTATGCCATAAGTGTGGATGTATGCATCAACATTGATCCAACGCAAAGCACAAACCAAAGGCAAAATGTTCCTTTTACATATTTTATTGCTTCATTGTGCTTTTCCTTTTCCCCATCGACTCGTCAATTTAGGGACTAAATTAAAAAGATCGGTGGAAATTGCCTTATGGAGGTTCTTGAGAATCCCCTTGTATGCCCTTCACCTTGGAATCGGGCTTTCTTTAAATCAATTGAAGTGGAACATCTAGCTCAGGTGGAGTCTGAAAAAATGAACTCATTGATCGGATACCGCTTAGTCCAATGACTTCCCGTAATTATAGTAAGAGTACTTAATTCACCAATTTACTTCTCGGACGAAGAGGCTTTGTTTGATCCCAAATGATTAGCTGCCTGGCATCAAGTCTAACCTGCCAATTCCACAATCAATCACCAAAGATGGGATTATATTTCCGCAAACTTTGACGTGCAAATTGAAAGTGCTGAATTTTCAGAGACTAAAGAAACCTGGATGTAGAAACAGCAAAAAAACACATGTAGCTTGGTTGTCTTATAAGATGATACTATGATAAAATCTAAAATAAAGAGTTACAGTAGCAATTTCATGTACCATACATTCTGTCCTATATAAGATGTTAAATTGCATAAAAAGTCAATCGCACTGGTCAAAAGGATTGCTAATGAAATTTCCGAAATACATAATAACTTCTTTATCTCTTCTGAACCATAGGACCAAATTTCATCAACATATTATCTATATTGTTGAGTAATCAGAAAGAAGAAATATTGGTAAATTCCTTTGTTATATGAAGCCATTGAATCTCATGTAGCTGTAGTAAGTTGCTGAAGAACGTGAAGGACATCACGTTTATCCTTCAAAGGAGATTTTTGTTTCGCAAAGACAATGAAAAACAGTTCATAGTCATGGCTGAAGGTCATAGCAAGGACTTTCTCTAACTTCAGAAAAGATATATATAAGCACCTCAATATAGACGATATGTAATTATTTAGCAAACAGTCCATAATAATGGCTGAAGTTCACAGCAAAGACTTTTGCTTATTTAAGTTCAAATAAATTCATTCTAAATGCAGCAAAGATACATATGCATGTCCATATAGACAAAACATAGTTTAGCAAAAGTAGGTATTTAAGTTTCTAAACAAAAATTTTCCAATTCTAACACAAAGTTCCTATGAATTAAGCAGAAAACTTCTGTAATGGTGTATGCTTTTCATGGTCCCAAGTAATCACAACTTTTGTTACTTGAAGTATCTAGAGGCTCATAGATTTACGAAGAAAAAGGGATATTGGAGGTTAAAAAAAAGCCAAATCTTGATCTTCCTAAGATCATAATCCACTATATGGAAGAAAAATCCCATCAACGAGTAAACCAAAATAGGCATAACTAGATGGATGTTTATAATGAGAACATTGATAGAACATACACTAAGATTGTCATGATGCGGCCCATCGTGGGACTAAATTAAGTTAATGGTAATTGTAAAGGTAAGTAACTTTTTTGCCGTGATTTCGGGGTCGACACGGCTGGTTCAGGGCTCCAAATGGCTGGGATCAGACGCGGCTCCCCTCGAGGCGTTGCTGACGCAGGGGGGCTGGCTTGGAAAGTTATGCGGCGCCGAAGGGATCCAGCGACGGTCGGGCACCTGCACACAGGTCGGGTCGGTAGCTCGGCCCGACCCCTCCGACGATTAAGTTAGCGATAAAGGAGAGGTGTTTCCTTGGGCAGATCCCCTTGCCCGTTGGGAGCCAGGGGGTATTTATAAGCGGGTTTGATGTTACCTGGTGCGCCAACCTGCCGGGGCAGGGTCGTACCTCTGACGGCGTATGTCGTCGTTGTGGACGTTGCGTGGAAGGCTGAACTGCCGCAGGGTATGGAGGGTGTCAGTCAGTGCCTTCGCCTGCCTCGGCTGGCCATGAGGGGTCAGCCGAGGAGGTCGTTCGGGTACGGTGGGTGTGGGCGCGCGTCGCATCGTCGTTAATGCTCGTTTTGGGGCAGTGGGCCGCACAGGGTGTCCGACGTAGGGGTGCATTACGTCAAATCCGGGGTGTTCCGTCAAATCAGTTTTCTTACCCCTATCATATGCCCCCCCTGAAAGGAGCTATGCGTCGGTTTTGCACGTGGGGAGGCTGACGCATGGCTTTCTGCTACAAGCGGGCTGTTCAGGGGGGTCTGACGGACGCGCCACGGACGGG